AACTGAGGTTAAATTTTCTTAAGCTTGACTTGGTCTATACAAAATATTAACAATATTTATATCTTCCAATAAATTTACTATATATTTTAAATAATTAATATAACTGATATCTATTATGCGCCGCAACTATTAATAATATCATGTGTATATTTAGTCAAAGTTAAAAATATTTGACTTAGAATGACACTCTTTATAGACGAAGCAGGGTTCTACTTCTATAGACACATACACATACTCAGATCGAATATATATATATATATATATATATATATATATATATATATATATAATTCTATATACTCAAACTATCTTAAGTTTGACTATATTTAAAAAATAATAATATTTATAACTTTAAATAGATAGTACTATGTTAATATATTTGATGGCAAATTTAACGATATATATTTAGTATGATGAATATTAGCATATTTTTCATAGATTCGATCAAACTTAACAGTATTTGACTTCACAGTACTCTAAAATTGCATTCCACTAGATTGTAATTTCAGAAACAGTAGCTAGTTCTGTTGAGTGGCGGCATCATAGCCCTGTCGTGTGCGCTGGCGCTAGACATTTACTACATGACCGATCGATCTGGTCGTGTTCAAAGTCCACTTCGAGTCATGGATGTTTGAATAGCGTGTCCACACAAAAATGCTGTGGATGGCTACGAGTTCCCTGCTAGGCACGTAATTCTAGCCCTAGGAGCTGCTGTGCTGGGGATGAAACATGCACGACAGCAATAGTTATATCCTTCACCTTTTTAGCTGGGATGATCGATCTGATGATGTCGCCGGAACATTCGCTGCTCGCGTCATCATGCATGAATCACGACAGCATGCACAGCGATGCTATGCTAGCTCGAAAGGTACTGTGGGTGGTGTGTGCTGTGTGCATGGTGTACGTACCTGGAAGGCTAGGCTGCATCGAGGAGAAAGGGAGACGTACAGTCAGTCATCGCTTTGTGCGAACTAGTGTATTAGCAAACATGCTTATATGCTGCACTTAATACTTCTTATAATCAGAATCTGTTTTATAATCGTTGAACATAAGTTGCTTTAACACATATGAGTTATGAGTCTCGATAACATACCGGATACGGATACGGAAAAGACACGGAAGACGCCGGACGACCCAGTCTAAGAAGAGCGAAAAGCGGTACAGAAAACCCCTTTCGCTTTCTATTAGTATTATTAGATATACGTATAGATATAGATATATATTAATATTATTATGGTCCACATACGTATGCTGGCGTATGTGTTAGGTTGACAGCAACAGCCACGGCCACAGCCAAGGACCTCAAAAGAAAACGCAGCTACAACGTACTAAACCAGGTGATGTTGCATCTTGTGATTCGTGGTCGTGGGTGGTATCTATGTATTTCCAAGGCTCATCAATCGTTTTCCCACGTGCAAGTGGTTCCTCCTGTGGCACTATGCAGCATCTATATATCTATTCCCATGCATATATAGCAGGCCTGTTTTCAATTGCCTTGTTACGAAATTTTGTAAACCTCAAGATTTAGCACACCGTACCCGTGCTTTATTATATACTATATATTGTAGCATATTGAGCTGAAAGCTTTATAATAAGATACTAGTAAAGCCTAATTGAGCTGTAACTTGCTGCACTTTTGTATGCAGTAAAAAGCACTTTACTGCTGATAAGGAAAGCTTGATCTTTGTGCACCTCTTGTTATTCTACAATTGTCCACTACCTTTTTGTTTGTGCATGTGTCAATATAATATAATATTTTCATGTTTGTGCGCTAACAGCTGGCTTCATAGTGGAAATCTTAAGTGCCATCACATCTTATAGGGGCAATAACAAAGATATGAAACATTTGCGATTCCCTTTTGAGTAACGGATTTTTTTTTTTTTTTTATATAGTTGTGCTTATGCACCAAGAATAAGGCTCCAAAGCCACTAGACTCTAGTGTCTACATCGACGTAGGTGAAGGTATCAACTTTTTTAGGCATCTTCATGAAAGCTGTAAATAAAGTCGTGAAAGCATATATATATATATATGGTGAAAAGTAACAATTTTATACCATCTCGTTTTCTAAAGTTTGGTCACATTAAATCACCAATAAAGACTACACATACTAGTATACTACCTCTATTTTTTTCTATTTCCTTTTTACAATGAACGACATAGGACGTGTTTGGTTGGGACTCTGAGTCAAACAGTTATAGCCCGGCATCTATCTGAGCCCCAGGCGTGGAAAAATCCAACAACACCTGGGAATGATGGCTAGTCAGGCAGCTTCGGCAAGTTCACAACCAAACAAGTCTATAATGACTCTATTAAATAATATTTGTGTTCATCAACGACAATGGCTGTATTCAGGTGCTCATTCTGCTTATTAAAAATATGTTAATCAGTTTTGATTCTACTACATCCATCCTAAAAGGAATGTAATTAAAGATTTAGTGTCAGTCAAACTTTCTTAAGTTTGATAAAGTTTATGAAAAATAATATCAGCATTTATATCTCCAAATAGGTTTCATATGCAATTATATTTCATAATTATTCTAATGCTACTTATTCCGTGCTATAAATGTTAATATTTTTTTTATAGATTTGATACATTTAACTTCATGGAAAGTGGGAAGTACATTATTTTGGGCGTAGGTAGTACAACACAAGACTAATAGAGAGAGAGAGAGAGAGAGCTGAGTTGGAACGGATCCTTGCTTGGGTTTTACCACATGTCCACATGGCCACATGGGCAAGAGATGTGGTGCGAAAGGGTCTTCGTTCAACAGAGAAGGAAATCTGCGCAGCTGCGCCATTACTGAGATTCACTGATTCAGTAGTCTACGGGCTTATTTGGTTCCAGGGACTAAAAAGGATTAAAAGTCTGAACAAAGACCAAAACACCCTTGACTTTAATCTCTCTGCTGCCCTTCACCGCAGACCATCGGAGAGGGAGGGAGGCCGCCACCACCCGGCACCATCGGAGGGAAGGGGAGCCCGTCGCGCAGCCACGGGAGAGGGAGGGAGGGCCACCACCGCCGGGCGAGCTTTGAGAGGGGGCGTGGCAGCAGGCATGACGATCGGGGCGGGCGTGGGAGGAGAGAGGAGGGAGGGAGGGGTATAGGCCATTAGTCACAATAAACATCTCCCAAGGGACTAGTGGACTTGAGATTAAAAATCCCTCTAATAGTCTCTATGTTTGGTTCAAAGGGACTAAAAAGTAGTCCCCCTAAACAGGGCCTACATTTACTTGAGTGCCAGCCACAGCACGGGCGGCACTCGCACCAAGTCGGTCTTGGTCCAAGTCAATGTCCCTGACCGGTGAAGGCTCAAGTCTCGAGTACTTGAGCATCAAGCACGCAGGTGGTAGTGGTACAGTTGGTAGGTCGGTAGGTCCAAGTCAATGTCTGCGTGTGGCGTGGATGGCACTGGTTCCCTGGTGGCAAGGTAATCTGCACTGCACTGCACTGGCCGATGCACTGTAGGCATGGAGCCATGGAGGAGCACTGTGTCTCGGCGACAAACAGCACAGCAGCTCGTGCATCCAGCCCGTGTGTGTCGCCTGTCGATCCGACGACGACGGAGCATTAAAAAAACAAAAGCCGAAGCGAAGCGTACGCAACGCCGGTGGTTGCGCGCGCACGTCAGGAACCGCCACTGGCTGGCCTGCGGGCGTACGTCGGCGTCGCGACGACGGGCTGATGGCGACGGCGACGGCGACGCTGCCTGAAAAGGCGGCACACAAGTGGAGCCGCCCACGCGAAACAGACGCGTGAAATGCAAAATATGCAATGCAAAGGTGCGTTGTTTGGCTGGGTGTGCGTCAGTGTGTGTGCGATGCAGATTGGCAGGACCCATCCAGCAGAAAAGGCTACTTGAAACCTGGCCCATATGTTTCGATGCATCGCACTTGCATGGGTTCGTGCACGCAGCAGCACCATCCTTTTCCCACGTGTGTAAGTGCGTAACTAACTAGTGCACGGTATCACTGTGCTATCCATACAGTGGGAAAAAAAGCCAGGAACAGCAGCATATACATTGGCCACAAGCCCAAATCGTTACCGCCTTACCGGACTCCGAAGAGTTGACTTACAAATTGCAGCCTTTAATCCCAAACAAGTTGAGGTAGGCTAGAGTTAAAACTCAGCAGAAGCAATAAGGTTCACGCCAAAAAAAAATTTAAACATCAACTTGGCAATGTCAAAGCGTACCTACCTGCACGAAGAGTTCCTCGTCCACAAGCAAGAGATTCCGCACGCACTCCTGTTCTTCGTCTGACGAGCGACGAGCGAATGGAGGGACCTCATCAGACTTGGTGCCACACCAGACCAGTTCATATACTCGGGCAGTCCGGCAGGGTTGGCAAATATTGTCGCTCCCAGAAAAAGGTACAGAGTGGACTTCGTGGAGAGAACAGTCATCATCATCACGATCTAATCCAAGGACCACAGTACAATGTGGACGAGATTAAACCGGCTTGTTCGGCTTTTTTTAGTCGGAACATTGTTTTTTTCTCACAATAATTTAGCTAGAACAGTATTTTTCAGCCAGTTTCAAGAAGCTGAACGGACCTAAGCCACTTCCAAGCTGTAGCGTGCAAACAAGCTCCAACTTTGCGGCGTTACAGTACAGGCGGCTCCGCCGTATAGCTGATGCGGGATCAGTAGGGTGCAGTCTTGCAGTCCACACTTATCCGGTTATCCTCTTGTGCGTTGAGATGTATCATGTAGGGGCACAGCCACAGCGCGAAATCGATGCCACTGGGCACTGGTCATGTCAGCTTTACAGGGTTAACAGTTCCTGTTTATACTTGTGGCTTTGCTAATTAACTATCGCCCTGTTCGCTTGTTTTATGAGTCCTACTGTTTTAGCAAAGGAACCGTGTTTTTCTCTCTCAACAAATTAGGGAACAGTACTTATAGCCATGGCTTTTCAGCGAAGCGAACAGGGCCTATGTCAGTGCCTAACCTGTCTTCGAATTGCAGCAGAAGTCCACACTTGACGTGATGTCTTCTGCTATTGATCCTCTGTGTTGAAGATCTCTTCGGATTCCTTGGGAGACGACCAGTAGTGCAGTAGGGATTCCACGGTGAGACGTCGTGTGGAGCTCAACATTGAGATGAAGAAGCGGCAGCCATCGATCTTGTATTCTTCCAGAGGATTTCTGTGTCCAAAACTCCGAACGTTGACCTAGCAAAAAAGTTCAAAACCCAAAAGTTCAAAACCCAGTCAACACCACAGAGTTCAGAATAAGACATCAGCAGACAATTATGGCAAAGACAACATTCTTTCATTTACAGTATTTTCCTTTTAGATTTAATTTGCAGAAAAAGAAAGGCAGATGTAAATATTTCGAGAGCAAAACATCTCAAGGCGCGACTTACAGCAGAACTAAGCTTGTTCATGTTTACCAAATGGTTTTTCCATAATGTATCAAGAGTCTTCAAAAGTACTTCCCGCTGCAATTAAACAGAGGAAATATGTTTATCGATAAATCAAATATGCTACACCAAATTTACAGAGTTGATGTTTAAACAATCAAATATGTTTCATGTAGGGGAAAATATGGATATCGTTTTGTTGGGGTTTATGGCCAGACAAACTTTGTGAACAAATTCAAAAGAGAATCATACCTCAATTCCACTTATATATCCATCATCGTAACGGGACTCTTGCACAGCATTCAAGTAGGTAGCTATTAGAAAATCCCCAAAATATTTCCGGAGCAGATTGACAGTGTTTGTGTATCTCCCTTTCCTAGATTGTTTATCGAAAAAAGCAGCATACAAACTTTCAAATCAATAACTATTGTTGTGAATGCTATATTGTGCCATCTATAAAATATATAGGTGTATCATATCACAACATACTTTGACGTATCATCAACACAAATGGCAAACCACCGCATTATAGAAGATGTTTTTTTTTTCGAATTCCTCTAAGTGAATCAGGCGGCACTGGCATGTTTGGAAGAGCAAAACTATCAGCCTTCACTGGGTCCCAACCTTGCATTTCCTCAAGTGCTGATTGTAGGTTTTGCTCTTGGATGTCCTTGAATGATTCTGCAGAGCATCTCAGAAATCAGAATACCCATTATAGAATAACATGAACTAAAAATAATTTGTGTATATTACCACTCAGTAGTTTCCCTCCTAGACTGACAAATTCATCCAAAAGCTTTACCAGATTCCATGCCTTGGGTGGCTAAAAGAAATATATAATTTTGACAACTGACATAGCACTGAAAATAAATGCTTTCAGAAATGAACTTAAGGATCAGGACAGAACAAGTACCTTTTGGGGATCAATATTTAGCAAAACAATTTCATCAGCTACCGCTTGCATGTACCTAATAGAATTTCAATTACAGGCATGTCCATGAAAAATAAAATAAAATAAAATAAAATAGCAGCATTTTGAACAAAAAAAGTGACTACATGCCTAAGTCAAATTCTTGGATGCTATAAACCTAAGATATGAAGATGTAAGTTTATCATAGCTCTGTTTTCAGTGCATGCCTAAGTCAAATTCTTGGATGCTATAAACCTAAGATATGAAGATGTAAGGTGTGCATAGTGCATCAGATCTACTCTATGATAAATCAGTACGCAAAAAGCGTGTTTTAGAGTAATTAGGCTTTAAGGCTTACTGTTTCCATGGATTTAAATCCTGAATTAGGCACAATGGTAATTCCTTTTATGCTACTAAGTTTCTAAGATGGCATATTAGATGCAAATCTGTGTGAAATTGGTCTAATTTGAAGTTTAAGTATTACACAATTAAAAGTTCGTCGCTGATCAACAATTTTTTTAGCCTGGGATAAGCATTTAGAACGAGGTGATTGGACAAATCCAGAGAAAAGTCCAAGAATCCTCAAATAAAATTCCCCAAAGCTCCGAAGCTAACTCTTACTCAGTTTTGAAGCTAACCGTAACCCCAGGTTGAGCGAACTCACCTCTACTCACCATGTAGCCGCACGCGGCATGAGTCGAAGTCGCCGGACGTGGATCACCGGCGCCCCTGAGCCGGCCGGAGTTGACCCTAACGGCACGAGCGACGTAGTAATGTTGCCATGCGCACCGCGCACGCCCGGCCGGATCTGACCCAACACGTGCACGCCATTAAACCCAGCACGCTCGCGCCTAGTGCGCCTCAGCGGTCGTGAGCTGGACCGCCGTCGTCACTGCGTCGTCGCCTTGTTGCACGCGTGTGTGGCTCCGCGCCTCCGCCCCAAGGGCACCGCGGTGGAGCCCCTCGACGGAGCCGCGTGCAGCCTAGCCGCACGGGGAGAAGAAGGTGAGCAGAGCATGAGAGAGACGAGAGGAATGGCGCCGCCGCTTGGAGAAGAGAGGCAAAGCCCAGAAATGCTGCAAGGGCTGACGGACATTTGCTCGTGCCGTAACGTGCCTGTGCCGTAGATTTGCATCCGACGGCCGAGACCTCAGTATCCTTCAGCCATTTCTGGGCCGGGGCCCAGGTTGGACAAGCCGGATACAGCCCATCAGAAACTGGCGCTGCAGAGCGAGCAAGCTTGAACGTATTCTGGCCATCTGGGCCATCAACACATTATTCAGACGCACGCGGATGAGGAAAAAAAATTTACATTCATTTTTTCTGCAAAAAATGTTTATCCAAATCAAAAAATTGCAACACTATACTACTACAGCCCATTGAATGGCCGCAGTACTTACCGTCGGTTGTATTGGCGCAATTTTCTTTTCTCTGTGAGCTTATCGTAAAAAATCATAACTTCTGGGTATAAAATCGAATGAAGATAAAATTTATAGAAAAAAGTTGTAGAGAAAAAAAATAGATCTACAACTTTATAGTTTATGACTTTTTTATTAGAGATCGCTTTGATACCTAAAAAATATAGATAATATTCAAATGTTCATTTGTAGATATAATCATTAAATTGATTATTTAGGTACCGATAGATTTAAATAAAATTATTGTAAACTATTAAATTATAGATCTCTTAGGAATCTACAGTATTTTTATATATAAATTATGCCTACACGAGGTTATACAGAAAAGTTGTGTTTTTTATAAAATAATATGCACTAGCTAGTGGATAAATTGAGGCATTTTATTCACACCCTTACGTAGCACTTCTGGAAGTCAAAAGGCAGGTTTTGTCACCTCGATTTTTTTTTTGTTTTAAGGTCAGTTGAGTTATGTACTTATGTTGTCCTCGGAAGCGAAGACGTGGCGAATACACCGGAAATGATCACCATGATGAGTTAATTTTGGTTCTGGAGACATCTTTTTAGTACGCAAACTTCATACTAAAAAGCCAAGGGGACATACGTTGACGACCTAGGGTTGCTGGATGACCTAGGGTAACCCGTCGACGTTCTTGCGCTAATGGGATTCCTCCTAGGCTCATTTGCTAGTTTGCCCCAAAACTAAACGCTCTTCATCACACAAGCACGATTGGTTATCCTCTGCTAGTTTGCTTGTAAACTTTGTCATTGTTCACTACGTAAGCGTGACAGCTATCGTTCCATGGGTGAAACCTGGAGAATTTCTAATCTGCCCAGGACAGGTGGGCTAAGCTGTCTATACAAGTCAGCTAGGCCGGCGTTTATGGCCCGTGCTAGGTCTAGATCTGCCAGACTAGTCATGTATGCTCTGCTGTGTTATTCGGTCCATTCGTGATCTATGCGATCTAGCACTTGTGGTGTGCGACCGATCTTTGCATCAATAGAAATCAATCAAAACTGGATAACGACATGCTAAATGGGTAGAGTTCATAGAATCTTTTCCGTACATAATTAAGCATAAGAAAGATAAGAACAATGTCATTTCTCATGCATTATCTAGGTATTTATACCATGTTGTCCCAATTTGATGACAAAATCTTTAGCTTGAAAACAATAAAAGAGTTGTATGCTACTGATGTGGATTTTAAAGATGCTTTTGAAAATTTTAAAGTTGGAAGAACATGGAATAAATATGTGCTTAATGACGGCCTTCTTTATCGTGCTAAAAGCTATGCGTTCCAGCTAGCTCTATATGTTTGTTATTTTTTGCCGGAGGCGCATGGAGGAGATTTGATGGAACATTTTAGAGTGAAGAAATCGGTGGATGTGCTGGACAACCATTTCTTTTAGCCCAAGATGTGTGCGTGATGTTGCGCGCTAATCTGAGTCTCGCTTGAATCGACTTGGTCTTTATATGCCTCTTTCTATTTCTAGTGTTCCTTGGGATGATATCTCTATAGGTGTCGTTTTGGGACTACCTCGAGCAAAGAGGCAGAGGGATAGCATATTTGTGGTTGTGGATCATTTTTCGAAAATGGCGTACTTCATACCATGTCACAAGAGTGATGATGCTTTACATATAGCTGATTTATTTTTCAACGAAGTTGTACGTCTACATGGATTGCCCTGCTGCTTGGAGCAAGAGCCGTCCTTCTGTGGATTGGGATATGATATCTTCACGCCAAAACTTGATCTGCTGCAGCAAAACAGAGTAGCAAGCATGAGCTTGCTCTGTTTCAAGAAAGCAGAGTAGCGTTGCAGTTGCAGAGCAGCACCGCCCCTAGCCATCTTGGGGCGTTGTTATGCCGTGGAGACACGGATGGGCAGCTGTGTGCTGCACAGCTTCGGGTTTCTTCTGCTAGTTTGTTTAGCTCCACACAAATACATCTCAACCCATGTGGGTTGGGCGGGAATGAGGTGGAATTTGAACTAAATTCCGTCTCAATCCCTTCTAAACCTAGAATTACGGTGAACTTATGTACAGCCAAATAAAGCTTTAGTGAGAGTTTGTTCGGCATCTAGCTAGCTGTTAGGCCTACTCTTATGCGGTTGCGCTCTAGCGGAGCCCGCGACCCCTACAGACCACTTCTTTTGTAGGTTCGGCCACATGGCCCAGCTAGCAAATGGTTACGTAAAGAAAAAGAAAAAGTCAATTCTACCTCTTGAGCTATCGTTATAGTTTGGTTTTTTTTTATTGAACTCTAAAATCAAACATCTTATCTCTAAACTCTTAAAACCGTTTAAATATTCTCTGCTCTGGTTTGGAGTGGTTTTGTCTTTTTTTTTTGTTAAAAAAGGTCAGTAAATATTTGATAGGTTTTTAAACCATAGAACATGACTCTAACCTTTAAAACTTCCAAAACAAAGTTCCTAGAGATCGATTGGGATACGACAAATCTAAATAAAATATTTAGCTTTATGAAAATGAAAACATATCCAGAAAGATCTAGAAAAATTCCCAAAACATTTTTTTCCTTGTATAAACATGTTTTAAAAATTTTGCTCAGCAAAAATATAAAATGCAACTAGCACAGATGTAACATACATTAATGATAAATGCACTCATATTGGTTGCCTATTTTTTTTTTGTGAAAAGTTTTCAAAACAAGTTTGCATATCAATTAGAATGTTTTCGGAGTTTTATAGATTTTTGATACTTCCATTTTTATAGAGCTAATCTATTTTTAAAGAATCTAGGATATTTTCGGAACTCTAAATAGTTTATTTGGATTTTTCGTGTCTCAATATATATCTAGAATTTTTTCTTCATATTTTTAAAAGCTTAGACGTATTTTCCATTATTTAAAAACCTTATCAAGGTTTCTAGATGTGTGGACGCTCTTTGTTTCCTAGGGAATGGGAAACTCCTCGTCGCAAAGACACCAAGAATGTCTCAATGACCCTGTTTGGTATAGCTTATCTGGCGCTTCCCAGATAAGCTGTACAAATAGAGTAAAAGCGACGGTCAAAATAAGTTGGTCTGATCCAGCTTTTGCTTTTTAGTACAAATGAGAGCTGTGGGAATAAACGTGGCCAGAATAAGCTGCTGAAAAACGTGACATTTGGCTGTTGATTTCAGCTTATTTTAACCATAAACAACTTATAAGCTGTACCAAACAGATCCAATGTGCGAAGCTTTCCCACCCCAATGGTACCGAGGAAGCCCTCTTCGCTCAGAAGTCAGAACGAGGGAGCAATGGTGAATCCGGAAGATCTCGTGCGAAGGCTACAATGTCGTGAAGGTCGCAAGCAGAATTCATGGTCGCGAGAACTTGGGCGAGGCAGCAAAGGATCAGGCGAAGGCTGGTGCCAGAGAGGCCACTGCCGATAATCAAACTTGACTTTGACTTGGTTGTAGCGAAATGGCCCGTGATGCCCTCGCAATTATAGAAATATTGTTGGCATCTTGAGTTCCATCCCATCTCGTCAAAGTAGATCAGAGTGCCTTCGCTAAACATGCAAAAACACTCTGATCTACTGCCTTCATCCTAAAATAGATATCATTTTACTTTATGAGAAGTCAAACACTTATATTTATATATATATATATATATATTAATATTTATAATATTTAATTAGTATCATTAGTTAGATCGTTGAATATATTCTTATAATAAATTTATTTAGAGATATAAATGTTGCACGTATTTTGTACAAACCTAATCCAAGTTAAGAAAGTTTAACCTGTATCCATCCTATAACGACTTCTATTTTGAGACGGAGGGAGTACCTTTTATTCCCCGCACAGCTCCCTATGTGTTTACTTATGCATAAGATTCTAGCTCGTGCAGTAGCATAGATTGATGGACTAGTATTTTTAAATTAACAAAAATCCCAATTCCCAAATGACATGTAGCACCTAAATAAAAGAAATGTTTGCGCTTAATTCTCATGCTAATTTGCTTAAGTATATCTGTACGGACACACTCCATTCTTCAATCTGAAACCATGCAGAATTTATGCCATTCCCTTCGCTGCTGGACGTGTCGATGTGTAGCCTCAATCGCTAGCTCAATACTTGTTCAGCCACCAACGAACTGGATCTGAGGAAAGTAAAAACCAACGAGCCCGGTTCGCTTGGCTAATAAGTCATGGTTGAAAGTATTGTTGATTGATTTGTTGTGAAAGAAAAACATTGTTTATTAGCTAAAAAAAGATATTTAGGAGTGATAGTATGTTGCCGCGCCCCAAAGAACCCCAAGAAAGCCACAAAAAAAAAATACATTAAAACAAAAGAAGCCACAAAAAAACCACCGCCCTGTTCGTTTGGACTGGTTTGGCTTATAAGCCATGGCTGAAAATACTGTTGATTGGTTTGGTGTGAGAGAAAAATACTATTTGTTGACTAATAAGCTATGGCTTATAAGCCAAATACGACCTAGCGAACAGCCTGCTTACCTCTTGTACGTGAAATCTGGGAACAGTATCTAGCCTTCAGCAAGCGAATTCATTCCCTTCGCTGGAAACAATTCTTCGAGTAAAGTTTTTCTCATTTGATATGATAGTAAACTTTCTAATGTGGCTAATCTTCATAAGTTCTTCCTCGCATTCATTTGCCAACTCTATAAGCTCAACTGCCGTATTTACCAAATGTAATTCATCAAGGATCGCAAGATACTTGAGCCCATGAGGGAGGCGCTTGAGTTCTGGGCACTCCACAAACCATAGCTTAGCAAGGCTTCCCCGTGCATCTTCTTCTATTTCAACTCGGTTGAGCTGTGGAGCACACCATACTCGTAATTCTTTCAGTCTTGGGAATGACTGCGAAGGAAAGCATAATGTCCGTCCATCATAAGCCTTGTCAAGGGTAATTAAGCATAAACTACGCCACACTATGAGGGTAGGAAATGAATTCTCATCAAGTTTGGAGGACATCAGATAGAGTTCAGTGAGATTGTTAAGGTGCAACCAAGATGACAAAATATGAGGCATTCGTTTCTTTTTGAGCTTCCCTGCCATCCAAGTTTGCAAAGACTTTCTGGTAAACAGAGTTCTTCCAGTGGCAATACCTCATTTTCGTTTGACATAGTAGTAATTGACAAACTGACAAGATTGCTCATCTTCAGGAGAGCATTCCTCAAGATTAATGAGTGTTCACATGTAACATCGTCAACTGAAAATGTCCGTAACTCTATCAAAGCTGCAACATCACATAGAGTCTCTGAGGTAGCTTTAACATTTTGCAGAGCATGCAGTCCTGTCAAGTTCTTTATGCCCCTAGGCATCTTCACTCCATGATTACGCGAGAAAGATCCTTCAGTGACCTTTACAGTTGCATATAGTTATCTAAGCTTTATCAGTTTAACACTTTAACTACATCATTTGGTAAAGATAGCAGACAAGTAAACCATGTATCCAGTACTTCTAAGTTTGCCAATCTTCCAATGGCCTCTGGCAGAACCTCCATTTTGGTATTTCGAAGACCCAAGAAACGCAGATTAAACAAGCTAAAGATCTCATTAGGCAGCACCTTGATTTCAGTACCTTGCAGATCCAATGTTGACAGCAAAACTGAAGATGAAAGGATTGGCCTGAGCCGATCAATATCAACAAACCTTGTAGAAACATGTATTTGGCGAAGATGTGTCGCACTGGATAGATTTAACAGTTCAATATTGGTGCTCTGTATTGACAGTCTACGTGTTGGGTGTACCAAAAAAGTCCAATTGCCCTCATAAACTTGACCAAAGCATTCTTTCTCGGCTTTTTCAATGGCAATATGGCGGATGACGTCATGCATTCGGCAACATTTTACTCGTCCAAACTCATTGTTCATCACAACTTGTAGTAGGCTTCGGTTCACAAGATCATTCAAGTAGCCCTCTGCCACTTGTTCCAGTGTTTTATTTTCCTTTTTCTTGATGAATCCAGAAGTAATCCAATGCCTAATTAACCTCCTCCTCTTCAGTTTATAATCCTCAGGAAATATTGCACAATGCAAGAAACAATTCTTCAGTTCATATGGAAGATCCTCCAAGCTGACTTTCAGAATTGTTTCAACACCAGGGATTGTGTTTCTAACCGACTGCAACTCTTAACTCGTCGAACAAATTTTTCCATTCAGTGTATGTTGGGGGTTTACAGGATAGCAGGCGGCCTAAGCATGCAATAGCAATAGGCAAACCTTCACACTTTTGTAAGAATTTTGTGGCCAAATCCGATAACTCCGGAGGACACCTTTTATCATCATTATCCCAAAAGGCTAACTTGCAAAATAGCATATAAGAGTGATGGCCTTGTAGCGGTTTCAGCTCAATTGCACAGTTACTACTTGCCAAAGATGCAACTTCAGATAATCTTGATGTAAGAACAAATCTGCTAGTACAATTAGCTGGGAATACAGGCATGATATTGTTTATCCACACCTCTTTTTCCCAGACATCATCCAATACCAAGATAAACCTTTTACCTTCAAGATGTCTACGGATGGCATAAACTAATCTTCTCATATCCATAATGCTAGAATCAACTGGCACGTTGAACTCTGTACAAATTTTCTTCAGCAAGTTCTCAACTTTATAACTCTTGGACACAGTTATCCATGCAGAAGCATCAAAATCTAATTTCACACTCTTATAGACTTGGTCAACTAAAGTAGTTTTGCCTACTCCAGCCATCCCCCACACTGTGCTGATTTTGGTGTTCCTTTGTTCCAAATCATCGACTAGCCACCCCATGAGCTTCGCTGCACCATCTTCAATACCCACTAGTTACTCTTCCCTTGCAAAACACGAAGCTTGATTGGTATCTTCCCTTGCAAAATGATGGGCGCTTCCAGTATGTCTCCCCATTATAGGAGTTACATAACGGTCCCTCCTTTTCACAGTGTCTTCAAGCTCGATATTGATATCACGAAGTTGGCGAGATAGGCGGCGCCAAACCTTGACTTGTTTTACCTTCTTCTTTATCCTGGCTGCAAATCCTCCATGTTTATTGCCATGAAGCTTGTACATGAACTCGTCAACAACATCCTCTATCCGGAAAGATAGTTCCCGGATAGTCTTGATGAAGATGCTTATGGTCTCATCAGTATCCATGAATTTCTCTGACTCACGCAAGTAGGTCTTCATGCTCTCCAACTCCCTCTCAGCTCTGCAGATCTCGCCAAAAAGACCCTTGAGGGCAGAGGCATCCTTGTAAAGCAGGGATGCACCATAGGTTGCTGCTTCTTTCGCCACGGCTGCATCTAGCTTGCCAATCAGTGCCCCGACAACAGCCCCAGCCATGGTGGTTGCGTTGCGTGCGCTTGCTTGAGTTCTTAGAGTGACAAAGTGTAAGCAAGACCGTGACCACCAAAGCTAAACCTGACAAACCAACTAAATATTCAGAGTTTGTTTCAGGTAATCAATGGAAACTTTATTTGGAACTAACATTGAACAAACCGTGAGCTGCAATGGTGTACCTGAACATTGGGTAAGCTAGAAAACAAGCATGTAGTGCGGATCTGGCCTTGCTCCAGCCACTGTCAACCTCGTCGTCAGAGTTGGAGGAGTTGCATTCTGTGACCAACGATGCTGCGAGGCCCTGATCGCTTGAACTATTTTCCAGCCAACAAATAGTATTTTTCTATCACAACAAATCAGCATAAACATCAACATAAGTCAAATTTCAACATAAGGGAACATAGCTTCTTGGAAAGAAGGACGTGCAAATAAAAAAGAATATATAATGCACTGTATCTAACTTTGAGTCTTTGACAAAGCAAAGTCAGAAATGAAGATTGTTGACTTCACGAGCCCCAAGTGAGTGGACCTTGATCGTCGCGATGTACCAGCTGGACTCCACCTTGCTTGCTGCATAGCTTATTACTGTGACCGATTGAAGTTGGTACCATACGTCCATGGTCCATAACACGTTGATATCTAGAAAACAACTGCACGTAACCGCGGCATTATCCGTTTTTTTTATAATGGAAAAATATCCAGCTTCATCCTTAAAAAAAAAGGAATCGGATCATCTTATTACAAGACTCACGTCATAACGACCGGAACGAGTTTGCATAACAAAAGTCAACTCATAACTCAATTCTTGACATAAAAGGCAATCCAAATAAGACCTTGTTTAAATCTAGCGTGTAAAGTTTTGGGGTGTCACATCGGGTGTCACATGGAGTGTCGCATGAGGTGTTTGGATACTAATAAAAAAACAAATTACAGAATTCGTCAGTAATCCGCGGGACAAATGTATTAAGCCTAATTAATCCGTCATTAGCACATGTGTTACTCTAGCACCACATTATCAAATCATGGACTAATTAGGTTTAAAAGATTCATCTCGCAAATTAGTCGCAAACTGTGCAATTAGTTATTTTTTAGTCTATTTTTAATATTCCATGCATGTGTCCAAACATTCGATGGGATAGAAAGTAAACTTTAGAGGGAGGAACTAAATAAGGCCTAACACGAAAAAACACATACACATTCCCTAGCTGGCGGCACGCCTGTAATATCATTTTATTCTGCTCCTCAGATAGTTGCAATTGGGCCCAAGATCGAAGCCAATGTGTTCCCTTGAAGAGGACATGCATAAGAGCATTTGATCGACATTTGTCAAATATAACTTCGTTCCTGGTTAGCCAAATAAACCAACAAATCATGGATGCTCTTGTCAATAAAAAGGATCGAAAAGATTTACCCCTGGTGGGATACCTATCATCAAAATAGTTTTGGACATTCAGAGGTGGACTAAGACCTAGCACCATATGAACTGCTCTCCACAGGACCTTACCATAAGTGCACTCGAAGAAAGAGGTGGTGGATGGTTTCTGGCTTACTACAAAAGCAGCAAGTCGTGTCACCGTTCCAACACACTTGCCGAGCTTGTCCATGGGCCATGCCCAAGGTCCAATGGTGGCCGGTCATGGGCAAGTCGAGACTCCTCGCCCTTGGATCAAGGGCAGGGAGTGTTGTCCCTGTCCGAACAGAGACATTAGGGAGGGAAGAAGATGGGAGATCGAGGGATGACAAGTGGGCGCGCACATAGGAGGGAGTGGGGAAGGAGATGAGGGAGGGATGACATATGGGCCCCACATGCCCCGTGCACAATTAGCAGCCACGTAGACAACTTATCGCAAACAATAGTAATTTGGACCCGCCCGATTTGCAAGTTTGGGGATTTAGACTATAGTTTTGGAAGTTAGGGACCTCGATGGCACTATCGTGCAAGTTTAGATATCTACTACGTCCAGTTTAGCAAGTTTGAGTATCTAGATATGCAATGTTGTAAGTTTTGGACCTAGGTGGCAAAGTCGTGCAAGTTTAGATACTAGACCAAAGATGTCAGACCCACATGAGCGTTAATTAAGTCTGCATGTCACGTTAGCGTATGGAGCGGGTTGAAACCCGTTGAAATAAAAAAAATGGGACCTATCCAAAGTTTAGGACCGCCAGCATATTTTACTCTTACACTTTCTGAATTTTTAAATAATCTCAGATGGAAACCAAAGTTGTAGCACTCGAAAAGATCTCAAACTTTTGAGTTCAAAGTCTTTATTTTGAATTCACTGAAAAAATTAAATATCTATTACAATATTGACTAAATTGAATATTAAAAGAACTGTATCAATTATTTAGTTACAAGTAACTTTGAGATGTAGTGCCTAAGGAAGCAACAAGTGAGGGCGAGGTCTTAAGTTCCAACCCCACAGCCGAATGCATATGAAAAATTGCGTGGCCTGTGACTTGCCATAGTGAGGCTATTGGGTGGGCTTCTCTTTGTTTTTTTTTTGCTGTTTTTTGGCCCATTTTGCAAATTCTAAAAATCAATTTATAAAGACGTTTGAGATTGAGTTTGCCTCTAAAGTCAATTTCTAGAGACGGGTTGCCGCCTCTGTAGCTCGCATCTAGAAATCATTCTAGAGGTGGCTGGAGCAACCACATCTACAAATTATCTACAGCCGCCTTAAAAATGCTAGTTGTAGCAGTGATAGTCGGCGCGTTCGCGTTATGGTTACATTTGTGGAGAAAACAAAGCTTTTATCAGGTGCATGGGTCATCTATCGAGCGGCAAATTAAAAACAAAGCTCGGATCGTAGAAAACTAAGTGGTGAATGTGTCATTGTCACAGCGAACATATTGGTACAAATATTTAAATCATATTGTGGTAGGGATGTGCTCACATGAAGTGGCAAAAAAGGACGTTATTTGAATATGTACTTTGTGTTTTGATTATACTAAGAGCATCTCCAAGAAACTTTATAAGGTAGCGTTTGGTTCGGAGACAATGTTGAGTAGGATGGTATTGTCTTTGGTTCATGGGACGGGACGACTCTATTTTTTGTTTGGTTGGAGAGAGATGGGACCAACCCATTTTCTGTTTGGTGTAAAGACATCAAAAGTGGAACCAGACACGGATGGGTGGGGCCCATTTATCAAATTTTTATGTTTTTTTTCTTTTCCTTTCTCTTCTCCTTGTCTCTTTCTTCCCCAACTACCCAACACAACAAAGCGCTCGCACTACGGAGCCGATTCTTCCACTGGCGAGCCTGTCCGCGCGCCGCCTCGCGCCTCATCCGCCGCACACCGTCGCACGCGTGTTGCCCCCTTCTCCTCTGTCGGCGAGCCTGGCCGTGCGCCGCCCGACGCCTCCTCTGCGCATGGCGCCTCCTCCGCGTGGTGGCAGGGCAGGACCTAGAGCTCGCACGAGTGCAATGGTGGCAGGGCCGGACCCAGAGGTTGCACGGCGGTGGTATGCTGGACCCCAAGCTCGCACAGCTCTCCCTTCTTCCTCAACACCGATAACCTCTCCCCTTCTTGCTCACGCTACTCTTGTTGGGCACAAGCCCACCCATCCCACCTGGGGATGACTCTGTCTGCTCAAAAAAGAGGGACATAGAGTCACGGAATCTTCAAGGAATATCCCAAGTGAGATGTCCTTGACTCCAGGAGTATGTGAACCAAACACCACAAAAAATAGGTCCATACAATCCTCACTCTGGAAATCCTCCCAACCAAACTTTCTATATCTTTTCACTGTCCAATAGTTTTTTTATATCTTGTGTGCACTCTAGAGAGCCATTCTCGTTTTCTATCTTTGGCTAGCAAGAAATCTAGAATAGAAGATGGCTATATTTGGATAACTAGATAAAGAAGTTGTTGGAGTGTATTTTTTCATAAAATCTCTATTCCTAGTAATTAGCACTAGTATAGAAAAGGTTTTTACTCACGATAAAAAATGATCTTCAGAAACAGTTACATAAAAATGATCTTCATAAAATATTTAGTCAAAAATGATTTTTTCATAAAATCTCTATTCCTATAAAAAGGATATAGAGAGTCTCTTGAAATTGCTCTAACACCAAACACCAGTGATACATATACTCCTTCCGATCGAAATTAATTTTATGTCACTTTAGCATTGTTTAAGTAAAAACTTTTTTAATTTCATGCCATTTATAAAAAATGCATTGACATTGTGTACAATATCAAATTGACTATACATGTAATATCTCTTTGTAGTTCAGTTCATTTGAACTGTTATATGTTAACATATTTTTCACTGAGGTTTTCCAAAATTAAAAAAGTGATTGAAGGGAACAAGCAGAGAATTTATTCCGTGACTCTATATATCGAGGTCGTGGTGCCTGCCAAATATAAGAGCAATGCATGCAGACCATGCAAAATCATTGATGGTGGTCTGGTGGAACACACCTACTTCTATAAAATTATTTATGAAGTTATAGATTTAATAATATGACTTGTGATGAAACATGGGTGAAGATTATATATTAAGTTGTACTATAGGGGTTAAACAGTCTGATAACCACACAATAATTTCAGGATGCCACTTTCCTAATTGGTTTACGTTTCATTGTGCAAATCATTTGGAATCTTAGTGACTTTGAAAACTAAGTTTAGTTCGTGAGTCATCATATTTGTACTCTCATATCAGTTGTTGAGAGAAAAATGGTTTAAGAATTCGAATGACGAATGCCATGAAACTGACGGATATGCAGTCATTACTGTTGCTTGTGTTCCGAACAAAACAATACTGTATATTGCTGGATATAGGAAACTGATCGTAGCCTTTCTTTTGGCGAATGAAAGGCTCTTTAATTTTCAGCCTTTTGACGCGGCATTGCTACGGGGTGATGATGAGTGCATCTAGTCTCATCAGCCTTTCATGGCCTTAATAACGGCCGTCAGATTGTTGAACGACGTGCCATCGTTGCCGGCGATGCTCCTGGATGCAACCTTCTGCATCTCCAACGCCCTAGACACGGTCGCCG